TAAAGTATTTTTGAAAATGGTGAGAATTCACAAGTTCAACACCCTGAATCTAGAAAACTGGTCATTGGAGAACTTTGTGCCCATGGACACTTTTAATCAGAACCAAGAACTGCAACATAAATAAAATTCAGAAGATTCGACCAAAAGACATTTGTCATAAGGAAACTGCAGGGTCCTTCCTTAACAAACTTTCAAAATCTAAAATCAAAAAATTTAAATTCAAAATAGACCTTTCACAAAATTAGTACTTCCTGTTAATAACATTGATGGAAAAAAATAGTTAATTCCAAATTAGCCATTCACAGGAAACAGACAATTCTCCGAATAATACCTACCCTGTGTCATCCCTGTGTTAACCAAAGCATTTTTAAATATTTGTGAACGAGAGTAACTTGTATACTTGCCTGATACCTATTGTGCTGAGGCAATAGGGATTCCAATACGTATGTAAATATTTCGTACCCCTAAACATATTTATACTTCACAGCTCTACATATACGCCAAACACATACGCTGTTCCTCGAAGACATTCCAAGAAAACCCTCTCGCATTTAAAAAACCTTAAAAAATCTTGGAGTATCAGGCTGACATAACTCGGTAAGCGTTCAACCACATTCCGAATACATCGCTGATTCGAAAACGAACAGAAAGAACTGTGCCTATAGGGCACTGCATATTAGGGTAGGTTAGGCTATAAAAATAACCGGGGGGTTATTCTGTAAAGCTAGATTTTACAACAGATCCGTGTGAGAACGAACAATAGCTGAGACGTCAGTATGTGAACAGGAGTACAGAGGGACAAGGAGTTGTCCTGCATTTTTCAAAACTTCTACGGTCCTTGCTTGCCTTAATTTACTGGTTTAAATTCTCAGATATTATACGGGATGTTCCTGAATGTCGAGTCAATATTGATGGAAATAATTCATTGGTCTATTTGATTACTAAAATTTCATATAGGTAAACATTGCTCCGATTTTTTTTTTGTTTTAAGATATAAAGTGATACATTTTCAAAAATCGTTTTTTCATTAACTTAGGGCCGGTACTTTCTATTTCTGATTAAATTAATGAAGTAACTTATTCATAATTAAGCATTGATATCTGTTTTGGCAATACTAAATTTTTAAAATAGTTCAGATGTTCCTCGAAATTCAAATGATTCAGTTTTAACTTCCTTTCTTTTTGAAATTGTCAAAAAATGGATAAGATAAGAAAATGAAATACGTAGTAATTTCTCTACATCTGAATTATATTTATTAATGAATTGAATTCTCAATGAAATAGAAATCATTGAAAACAAAATAACTGATGTATGCTACTTCTTAAAAAGACAAACAACGAACGTGGAAAGGAGTCATGGACAGATTTAACCCGTCCAATTTGGTAAAAAAGGAAAGTATCTTAGTAAACTGGGACTAGTAGAAAATAGTAAGAGCAGATTTCGTGAGGAAGAGCACGAAACTTCCATTCGCACTCTGACTGAATGTGTAGCACTCCAGAATTCACAAGCAAACCAAATAGAAGAAGTGATCTACCCACTCCAAATCATACATTTCTTTGGGGAGGTAGAATTGGAAGGATCACTGTAGGCATCGAGATAGAAGGAAGCACAATAGATGTTTTAGGTCGCAGTGTATTATTACCCCAAACATAACATATTCGCAATAAATTTTACGATATCTTTGTTATTATCATCAACTATTTCTGCTAAGTCTTCCAAATCTATTTGTCAAAATGGCAAGTCGAGATGTAGGGTTAAGAAACCTTAATGAAAGTTACAATCAATAGATTTTATAGCATCACGCCCATTTTTTAATCCTGATTAAGTTTAAACAACAGTGAAAATGCTCAAAATAACGCTGGTAAATTTATTTAATCATAGTTAAGTAGGTCTGAAAGTACCGGCCCTAAAAGGATAATTTAAACCTGATTAGACTAAGATTATTAAGTCCAGTAGCACTCCGGAGGCCAACCTAATTAACACCCTTTCAAAAGGTTATGGCTAAGATGCCGGTACGTCGTCATCCCAAAGAAAGTTTTTAAAGCTTCGCCAATCAGACCTTACCTTTAGATATTTGTTATTACGACTTCCTGATGCCTATTTGTCTTCTTGGGCTTGTATTTGAATGTTCCGGGAGGTGTGACTGAGTCAGTATCGAATTATAATGTTTAACACAAGCATATGTAGTCAAAACGATACTGTTAATTATGCCGTTCAAACGACGGATTGTTCTTCCAAATGGCGGTGACCTGAGACCTGGGTACCTTTTGGGCGAAATATTAAAAATAATAGATATTACCTTTCAAACTGGATGATAATAATTAATTTATATTAAAATATATTAAATAACACCCTGTATTTTTAACAAAATGAATTTTGTTTACACGAAATTTTGTGTATTACTCTTTCTTCAGTAAATAGGTAATAGAAGATAATTAACCCTATTGTTGTCAGTTATTTTTAAATTACTCTATTAAAATAGATCGAAACAACCTGCAGTCAAATACTCTTCTCGCCTTGTTCCTCAGTCCACTTTGGACACCAGTTTATTTGAATATTTTCTAAACGAAATAATTTGAATAAAAAATATTGTTATTGAATTATATTACTGTTAAGAAACGGTCGTTCATGCCTTCTTAGACAGCAGACGAGCAGATCCAGATTAATGACTCAGGGTAGGATACCATCTTCATCTGCACGAACAGAGAATGTGCACAAGGAGTTCTATTTCCACTAATAGGGAGCCTAATGGTTAACGAACGACCATCAGGTTCGACTGACCTCAACATACCCTGTCAAGTTATGTCGACATAGTTATATTTGCTAGAGACAAGTTCGAAAATAGTCTGTGTGATATAGTACAAAGAGGACCACAACAGACTAGACCATAGTGCCGAGATGTGGGACTATGTATAAACAATGGTAGTCTTTTAAAAAAAAAGCGAACTTAATCTCAGAACCGTCAAATTAGACTGGACAGATAAATTTATAGAATAAAAAAAAGTTAAATATCCAGACCTAACCCTGGACAACAAACTTCTCATACATGAGAACTTTCCATTGGTGGGGAGTTCAGTGATCCAGGATCCAGTTCAACATCGAGAGAAACTACTGCAGACCAGAGCTGGCGACGATTCGAATCACATAGGATTCGAATCCTGGGATTCGAATCCTGGGATTCGAATTCTTTTTGAGGATCTGCGAGCGGTATTCGAATACTTAAGAAAAAAAGGATCCGTAATCCGGATTCGCCGAGGAATTCCTTAAGGATTCGTATTCGAATCACCAATATTAGTCTCGGGTCCTTTTAGAGACCAAACTACGCCGGCGCGAATGGTTGACTCACGCTTTGACATGTCGCGAAGTGTAAACTGAAATAGACTGAGACTGAAGACCGATTGTTATTATTTAGAAGAAATGTAACAATCTACAAATTAATGTGAAAGAAGGTTGCAGAGCACCTAGACAATTTTGAGTTGAAACCCATGTCATACTTTTAGGCTATTTTGTGGCCATTTTTATACCCTATTCAAAAAATGTATGCTCTTCGTTTTCTGCAAAAATCAAGGTTCTCTTCTAGCTTCGAACGAACCCAGCAGAGCTCCTTGGTTTTTTAAAGCTTTTTTGCGAAAAACGAGTAGCATTAATATATCTTTAAAATAGCCTAAAAAGTTGGCATAGGTTTTAACCCAAAATTGCCTAGGTGCTCTGCTGCCTTTTTTAACATTATAAATTAGTAATAAATATCCAACATAAAAAAATCTTGCCTGATACTGGTGATGCTTAAACCGTAAGAATGGTCGATTTGAAGAAGAGGTCCTTCAGCGAGTTGCCGACGAACCATAAAGTAGCACACGTCACATTGCTAAGGATATGAATACGAGTAACGCTTCTGTCTGGCGGGTGCTAAACGAGCCACAACTTTATCTTTACCACTTCCAGAAAGTTCAAGGATTGACTGCAGCCGATTATTATCCTAAAGTTCAATTTTGTCAATGGCTTCTTCATCAAATCGCTGTCTCTTTCACAAGAGACAGTATTTTTAATAGTAGGAATAGCCATGTTTGGGACGAAGAAAATCCCCATGTAATTTTTCCTAGAAAACATCAGCAACGTTGGTCTGTCAACGTATGGGCAGGTATTGTTGATTATTTGATACCATACCTTCTACCGGAACGGTTAATAGGACCTATTTACCGGCGTTTCTTGGAGGAACTTCTTGAAAATGTTCCAATAAACTTTCGACAGCAAATGTGGTTTTAGCATGATGGAGCGCCGGCTCACTTTGCTGTACAAGTACGTGAGGATTTGGCTCAGCGGTTTGGGCACCGTTGGATTGGCAGAGGTGTAGTAGTTTATTGGCCTCCTAGGTCACCCGATTTAACGTCGCTAGATTTTTTCTTGTGGGGACATGTTAAGTCTTTGGTCTACGCAACTCCAGTAGAAACAAAGCAAGAGTTAATTGGACAAATTACAGCAGCATTTGAAATCGTTCAAAACGAGCATCAAATTTTTAGTCAAGTCCGCCGAAATCATGTGCGACGGTGTATTCACGTTGGAGGAAAACATTTTGAACAATTCTTATGATGATATCATGTGCAAAAGGCAAAAATTAAATGCATTAAATCCTATTTAGGCAATTCATCGTCTTTCTAAATTTTACCGCGTCTTAGGGCCGTAGTGACACTTTTCCGGTCATGGGTCCCTGTACTCAAATGTTTTCTACTGTTGCACTGAATAACCCCTAGAAGTTTGATTACATAGTTCTGAAACACCCTGTATAATAGTATACATACATAGTATAAAATATTAAATATTATTTTAATAATGATAGGTATGTCATTGTGTTGCATATTATGAGAAATAATGAATTTATGACGGAAAAATGACAAACGTAAGAATAAACTAAATATTTATTCGATAATTATTTACAATTTAAATATATTTTACCAGACACAAGAAGGTAGCTAAAGGGCTTGAAGGCTTCACTTTTCTATTAATTTAAAAATGAAAATGTTCCTTCGTTAAAATATTTTGCGAACTTAAATTAACTGGCTATTATTACTCATTTACAATTAAGGTTAACGGTTTTTAAATTCTATACATTTTCTCAAGAAATTATTTCTTCACTTTGAAAAACAGGAAAATGTTAATTCTTTCAAATTTTCTAAACGAGAAATGGTGTGCAAATCTTTGAAAGCTAAAATTCAGTGACATGTTTGTACGTGGTACATGGTACCATGACCAAAATATAATTTTTTTACTAGATTGGTACTTATGCCTTCAAGCTTTCAATTTCAAATAATTCTAGTCAAAGGCTCACAGCCAGACGCAATTGAAATGTGTGTCTTTTCCAAATTAATCTGGAAATCCTAGATCATTTAGAGACATCTCATCAAATTTACGAGTTTTTCATTCATGAAATGAGCGAAAATCAACTACAGCCCCTCAACTCCTTTCGTTTCTGGCGTGGTTATTATTCTTTACTACGTAAGAATGTATGCAGAGAATGCGCCTCGCCGCCATCAAAGAAAAATCTGTATAGTACCGCTCCTATGGCCATTCCAGCTGCAGGTCCTAACATATATTGCCACAGATTTTCAAAATTGAGGAAAAATACTGCCGGTGGCACACTTCTAGCTGGATTGAGTCCTACAAATAATTGTAATTACAGAATATACCTAGTAGTAATAGTTAATTACGTTAAAAGTAATAGTACTTTACAGGACGAATCAGGTATAGACCGGGAGGTAACGACAGAAACGACCACGCACTTTTCTTATGCAAACGGGAGTACCGTCAAAATGTCTGAATTTTTTATAAATTACTTGATGTCCCCATCAAAAGTGTCCATGGGCCCAATCGTATCCTATGACTAGATTTTGAGATACAGGGTGTTGAAGTTAGAAATCTCTATTTCTTTAAAATGGACACCATAAATCACCCTTAAATATATTTGGAAGTTATTTGCTCATTCTGTATAGTCAAAATACATACTTAACTACTATAATTAAAATATTGTCCCTTACAGGGTGATTAATGATTCGGCAGATCTTTTTTGGTCAAAGTAGGTATTTCCACCGAACAAAAATAGCTGAAATACCGAAAAAAAAATATCCCGTCAAAGTTTCTCAATATTTGATATCGTATTCGCTCCGTGCGCGACCACAGCGCCAATTCGTTTTGGTACTATTTCTGTGTATACTGACAAATACACTTTTTAATAGAATTCGTAATTAAAAAGTATATATGTTAGTTTTAATAAAAGTATATGGATTTGTAAAACAAGTAAAACATTAATTTATTATTATTATATATTTTTAACGCTTAAATTAAAGAAAATTATGTATAATCAATGAAAATCAATAATAAAATATAGGCAGGCAACAGTATTTACTGGAAAATGTATGAGAAGTTGCCTAAGTCTAATAAGTTGTCATTGAAGAATTAGCCTGTTGCACGGTGGACTATAAGGTGCATCAACTCCTATTTAAAAACAAATGAAAACGGCGATAAAACCGATCGTACTTCCTAGCCAAAATCCGCTAGGTTCGGTCCGGTGAGAAAGTAAATAAAAGATAAAAGTAGGAGCTGCAATTTAAAAAGTGTTGACAGATAAATATTTTTTAAAATCTTAAAATATATAAATCATGGTGGATCGTTGTGTTGTTTTTAATTGTGATTATGGGAGAGAGTCTTCAAAATATTAATAGCAGTTTTATAATGCCAAAAAACAGTTATACAGAATATGGTGCAAATTATTGGTGGTATGAAAATAAACATTAAACCCAAAAGTTCCATTTGTGAAAAACATTTTAATGCAAATTATGTTATCCGTGAAAAAGTGCTAAGAAATCTACTAGGAAACGTTATTTTTCAAGTAAATATGTTTAATGTCTACGTTTTAAATGGTTGTAGGTTATGTAAATAGGTTATTCAACTTTGTCTTTTTTGTAATAAAAATAATTATTAGTATAAAGTTTTATTATATAAATATTTCGTATTATTTATCCTGTCTCCTTGGTACTAATAATGTTATGACTTGGACCCTATTATAATGTGTTCATGATATACATTTCATATACACAAGGTACCTATTTCTTTTGATATTTTTCTGACCCTGCGAATAAATAAAATCTTTGACTTATTCCTTTTAGCCTGATTATAATGCTAGAAAGTTGTATCTGGTTATAAGAATCAAATAGATACTATGATAAATTTATTTTACTTGTAGCCTTTTTATTTTTAAGTGTTCAAATATACATTTGTTTAATAATAATCATCCCCAAATGTGTTTTGTTCCAGTTCTTTAAATGTATTTACTAGGTTTTTATAGAAGTACTGATTTTAAATTAATAAAAATTTGAGCTGTACGAAATATTTAAGATTTTTCAATTCTGTATTTTTCGTATTTTTATAGGAGTTAATAATCCCTTTAAGTAAATAAATGTAGTTCGGGGTCGTAGATGTTGGTAATTTGTGTATTGAATAATTTGTACATACACTGGTTAATAATTTAAACAATGTTTTTTCTGATGTACCTAATAATTATTTAAGGTTATCTTGTAGTTGAGGAGTCTAGAAATCCGCATATTCACACCACTCTGAAGTCTAGAATTTGACACAAATTTGAAGTTAAAAATAACGATCGTATTACTTGAAAATCTACAGATTTTTTTTTAATTTTTAATCGATGTAAAAATTGGTAAATACATGATAAAAAGTAAAAGTTATTTCAAATAATTAAATATAACTTTGCAACTATATGTTACGATTCCAACTATCAGAACTAGCCAGAACAAGAATGGTGCATTTCCAGACCCTTCAATTATAAGATTACCATTATTTAATGTGCAGCACAAATACAAAAAAAAATACCTAAAAAATGCTGTTCCTGCTTTTATTACTTATGATGGGACTACTTCTCAAAGGAGACAAGAATGTGGAAAGTATTGCTGATACACTTACCGAAGTTATCCACTGGGGGTGAAGTGTTAATCTTTTAGGAATATAGGAAATATTTTTTTATATCTAACAACTTAATATTTATTTATTGATAAGTTATAGATACTATGTATTTGAAATTCGAAGTAATCATTATGACAGCAGTGTTCTTCTTATTGTATTCGAATTCTAACGCAAATAAAACATCTCATTAAATTTTTGTTAAAATTATTAATTTATTAATTTTACATTAGAAAGAAAATTAACAATACACACAAAATTATTTAAAATTAGAAATAAATACAATTTACACATTTCCCATTATTACACTTTTACTTACTTAATTTATTCATTTCTTATATTAACAATTTAAATTAATAATATAGTTCATTATTTAATTGGAACTCATTTTATAATTTTACTAATTATTTTTTTATATTTATTTGTGGAAAATTAAATATTAAATAAAAGCATAGGAATTGTTCTATTAGATAATAGCAGTAATGAAAAAATAAGTAGGAAAATTTCAAATGTATAGTTTCCAGATTTATTATGAGTTTTTCATATTAATGTACTCAATAAGTAGGTTTATTATGTTCGCTTGTACACATCACAGTTAGCAGCAGACAGTAACAAACCTGACAACACTTCCGATTTCAGAAAAACTTTACAACAATTTGTTTTACATTATATATTTCAATAATGTAATATAATAATCATTTATATTTAATTAATGACAAGGTTTACTTTTTAAATAAAACTATATGAGCCCTGTCCCGTTTCAATTAGCACACTTCTCAAATTTATAGTGACTGTCACTACAAGAACAAATCATACATAAATCTGATAAATTACTTTTATTTTTTTAACCCTTTCACTTCCACTTTCATTAAAAAAATACCATTGTAGTACCTAGATTGTATGTTTTCTTTGTTTATTTTAAGTAAATTAAAATTTTTTCATGGTATTTTTTATTACTCCAAGATATAACGTCCCTGTTTACTATGAAAATAATTTTTTTATAATATTAATCCTTAAAAGTAATGCAAATAAAGTAAATAAACCAAAAAGAAAAATTTCTACCAAAATTAACAGATGTATACTTCAGGGTTAATTAAGACAGTGTCCCTCTGGAGGGACAAATACACTGAAAGGGTTAAATATTTACAAATTTTCATGAGTGTTTCATCACCTTTAACTTTGATAACAGCAATAATTCATTAAAACATTGTATTTACAAGTTCTTGAAAATCTTACGTGCAGGGAACCTACTCCATATTTCTAGATTACCCATTTGCTTTAATTCTGGCAGTGATCTTGTGGGTGCTGCACGCCTCTTCTTAAAAATTATCACCCCATATACAAAACAGCATCTTTATTAAATGAACAAGAAACTAAAAAAAAATAAGCATTATTAAAAACTACAAAAAGTGCATAATTTGAAAATCCATATTCAAGCTTGAGATTTGTAAAATTAAAAAAATTCCAAATACACATTTAACTTGTTCAATTATGTATTGAATAAAAGGTCTGTTCCAACAATGATCAGAACCAAACCACTGGGTAGTACACAATTTTGCAGTATCGATAAACTACTGTGCAGAATCCTGATGTCAGTAACTCATTTCTGAGCATTGTTGGAACAAACCTAAAGTAAATCGAAACCACTTAAAAACAAGCACAACATTTATACTCGAGCATAATTTTTAATTCCTATCAAAATTTTTAATTACTGAATATTTTGTTCTAGTTATATTAAAATTTAAAAGTTCTTACTCTTCATTATAATTATATTTTTTATTTTCCCTATATACCTACATACTATCTCTAACATTTTACAAATTTGATGCCTAATTAAAGATTTCATCTAGCATTGCAGCATTTTTTAGAATATTTGATAGAGCATAATAGTAACTGCCAGTTAAAACTTTATTTCTAGTATTTAGTTTAGGTAACAGAGACAACGCTTGGAACAGAAAATACATACTTTTGTTAATTCAGAATTTTTAAATGTTGTTTTATATTATAAATCTTTCCAAGTATCCTATATCATTTTTTTTATAATTTTCAACCAAAACTGTTTAAAAACAAAAAGTTTAATAAAAAAACACCCATTATATTTAATAAGGTTTATGCTCTAAAACTCACTGTTCTTTTAATGGCAGATTTTTTAACCTCTGAGTAAAGTTAGGTGTAAGTATAATCTATAGCCTAATCAGCAAGTAGTTACTTTCAACTTTATTCAGAGGTAAAAACCTGGCCTTTAATCTTAATATAATTGTGGAGGATGGAGACTACATTTGCTAGGGATTAGGGAATAACGAAGATCTAACTACTATAATGACACTTGCTAAAAACTGTATAAGTTCTATGTACATGCAGATAGAACCATGTGAATAACTTTAGTGCTTCGATAACACAACATTGATAATTAACAGATGAACATATTGGTCACAAAAACAAATTAAATAATATATTCTACCAATCTCATTTTTTCCAAAAAGTACAGTTACAACCTTGTTATTCTTTGAGATGTATTTATTACTGATACTTATTAATAAAAATAATAATAATTGATATAGGTACTTACTGATCTTTGGAAACATATATACTCCAGTCCAGTGAGACTTCATTATTCTGGTATAATGCTATTTCACAGAAATGTTTGTAATTCCAATCACTATGTATGGATTTGATTATAGTAGGTA